CCCTGGGATCAGGATATGGCCCCCAGCGCAGTGGTGAGGGGCAGGGGGTGCAGGGGGCAGAGGGAGAACAAATAGGAACCAGCACAGGAGAGAGCATCCCAGCATGGGCACCAGCACCCCCAGCTGCCCACCCAGCCCTGCGGGTTGGGGGGAGCAGGGTCTCCCCCACCCCAGCCCACCGCGTCCCCTCCCCGTGGCACAGCGCCCATCCCTCGCCCTCCTCTGCCGCTCCCGATCTGTCAGGGCGGCTTTTTGTCCCATCGCCTGTGCCGGGGGGGCCACAGCAGCGCTGCCCAGCTGCCCACTGGTATTTCCAGCGCCTGGCACGACCGCACTCAGGGGGCCATGGGGTGGTCTGTGGCTCCCACCCCACGGGCTCGGGTACCCCACATCAGCCTGGGTCACCTCTCCCCACCCAGCGCAGCGGGGTTTGCTTTACCCCCTCGCTGGGCAGAGGGGGAAACCGAGGCACGAGGCAACGGGAGCACCCCTCCTCCTGCGTGCACCAGCCCATCTCCCTGCGTGGCTGGGGGGGTGTCGGGGAACACAATGGACACCCCAAAAGGAGGGTCTGGCCCGTGATGGTGAGCAGAGCGCAGTGGGGAGAGGAGGAGAGATGCAGGAGACAGGCACCGGCCTTCCCAACACCCCCATGCTGCCTCCTCCATCCTCCTCCTCCTCCTCTGCCTGCTGCCGGGGCTGTGCCTGGGGCTCGGCACCCCACAGGGACCCACCTCATTGTGGGGGAGACCGGCAGCGGAGAAGATGGGGATCTTCTGGCCCCGGGCAATGCTGTTCATCACGTCGATGGGCGAGATCCCAGTCTGGATCATCTCCTCGGGGTAGATGCGGCCATGGGGGTTGATGGGCTGGCCTGGAGCAGGAAAGGGGATGAGGCACCCACGGGGCACCCCGAAACAGAGGAATCGCCCCCGTTGGTGCGAACAATGAGGCATGAGCTTCTGGAGCTAAGGGGGAAGCAGGCTTTGGAGCAGGGCAGCCACCCTGCACCAGCCCTGGGGGGGGGATGGGCTCGCCAGGCGCCACCCCTGCACCCGTGCCCCCACCCAGGGCACCCCAGTGGGGACGGATGGACCCCCCCGGGGAGCTGGGGTGGGGACAGCACCGTGGGGTCGCTCTGGCCATCAGGGCACGGCGTTACCCCCAGATGCC